CGTAGACCTTGACGCGGCCTGTGGTGCTCGAGTATATAGAGCACGTAGAATATTCACATAATTCGTGGGAACACTTTACCGCGCAAGTATTTCTAACAAAATGGATCGATCGACTGAATCAAACGCACTCTTGAGGTCGAGGAACTCAGGTATTGTTGGTCAGCGGCACGTGTGGTGCTGTTCTAGCACCTGATGCGGTGTGGATATGTGGCCTATATAGCCACGCCCTGGGTGAAAGCTTTCCTAGTCCTCATTAATGAAGGATAAGCGTTTCGCAGTGAGGCGGCGAACGAAAATTAAGGCCAATAATTTAGTCACAATCGGCGTTAGCCTAATACCACTGTGGTTAGCACAGTCGGTGCAACTGCCGTTCTTGTAGATTGCCATTATAATTGATTCACTCCAGTTAGCTGGGATGGCCTTTCCCTTCCAGACCTGCTCGAACAGGGAAGTGAGTGCTTTGCAGAGGGTCTCATCACCATCCTTAAATATCGCGGGTGTGAGCGAATCCAAGCCAGCAGCATAAAACGATTGGGGGCCATGATCGCGTTTCGGACCTCAGCTTCCGACGAAATCTCTAAAGCAGTGGTTCTCAACCTTTTTTGAGGTTGTAATCTCCAAAGCGGGTTCACTCCGAACAGTTACTCTTAAAAATTATAGTTCAAATGGCTAAGTAACTGTTGCATTTTTGCTCTAATTTGCGAAAGATGAATACCATTTAACTACATTTATTCAATTAAATAAAGAAAAGATCTACCTTTGAGTACCGTTTCATTAAATCAAGATGTGATGTAAGTTAATGAGACGGTTGACATTGCTTAGTCCCAACAATTTATGGTACATTTACTGCGGTTTAGGCTAATGCACACCGTACGCCGTGGTCCAATTTCATTCATTTCTTTGTTTTGGTGTGTGATCCCTGATCAAACATGAACAGATGTCAGGGGCTTCTTCGTTGTTTCAAACATATTCCAAGTCCTCCTGGATGACAGGATCCCACTACCACTCTGTATCGATACGTCCTGAACACTAAGGACCTGTTTTGTCTCTCCTACCTTGTAAACATTGTGTCGCTCTTTCCCTGGTCAGCTAACTTATGGTTCCACCTAAGTCCTGACTAAACTGTAATTCGACCCGGCGAACGACTGCCAGGCACAACTATAGCGCATAGTACTTGGCGGCTATCGCCATGATCACTAGGCAATTGAGCACCGCTAGCACTGCTGGGCACAGCAGTAAGAAGTTGATTTTTAGATTTTGAAGTATCCGCCGTGCGCCGAGGATTACGACACGCTCAATTGCTTCGTTATCATGGCGATAGCCGATAAACATTATGCGCCTTGTTCCACTTCCAGATCGGCTATCCCTACCGGATGAGTCCAAACCAGGACGAAACCGTCGGTCATGGGGCCCAGGGATGGGAGAGTCACACCGAAACCTACTATTTCGGTGACAGTTCCGGTGATCCTAATGGCAGGGTCTGACTTCAAAGTCAACCGAGACTACAATTGAGATTGCGTGTCGCAATCCTAGACACCAGGCGGGTGCTCCGAAATCGAGAATCATAGATAATATTATTCGTTGGTAATTTTCCAATTCGCTGAACTCTCACTAATGACCGGTCTCTGATGCATAGAGCATAGTTAGTATGAAGTTAGTTAATTGTATTGGCATAGATTCTTTTGTCATTATTTATGGCGATAGATTGATGACCAATCCTCGTGCTTATATTTACCCCCCGTAAAATGCAAGTTTACTCCCATGAAGTTAATTACCCATAGGATGAGAACTACTGCTCTAAACTAACTGTTCATGGCTCAGGCTGCGATACCTGAATAGGAGGTTCAGAAGCAGAGGATGACTGCATTGCTCTCGAGAGTGCTGGCTGGCTTGCCGAACAACGTCCTCGTGGTGCCAGCTGGGTGGTTCTGGATTTTCCCGTTCCAGCAAATAGTTCGGCGGCAGTGTTTCAGGACGTGGTGGGTTTTCACCTGACAAGCGTTCTCCCTATAAAAGGCCACATATGTCCGTTTAACAACACTGTGACGTGGCGGACGTGACTCGCCACTAAATAAAGCCACTGCCCCTTGCTTCATCCTGGCGAAGCATTGTATTCCAGCAACGTCATGCTGTACTTCTGGGGAGCATTGGACCCATGTTTGACAAAGGAACAAACGAAAGGCGTATGAACTGAGCAATCAGTCACCGGTTCCCAATGGGCGCGATTCCCTGAATTCGCTCCGCTGCCTTGCGGGCAGGCCATTCAGCCAAATGCTCGGGGTGGTGTCCCCTAAGTCAACAACGTACTTTGGCTTGGGCAACCGGGTAGTATCTCGCCCTCTGGGGAAACCATGGACATGGTTGTGTTGTGTTTTATTCTACTATTTCTGTACCTTCGTTTGAATCCAATGGTTTCTGATGGCATTATGTTTATTCGTAGACTTTCGCATATATATATAAATATAAATAAATAAATAAATAAATAAATAAATAAATAAATAAATAAATAAATATATACTCGAGAGTGCTCCGCCCAACGACCCATACGGCGCTGCTTATTGTGAATATGTGTACCAGCGCTGTATCTGATTGTTTCATTGATGCATGCTTTCCTGGGACCACTGGTGCGGATCAGCTGGCAGAGCTTGCGACAATTGCCTGCTGCTCCTGCTTCCTCCATTTCTTGAACCCGACCAGTCCACCAGGTTTCCCTGTCAGCACACAAGCTCAGCTTTCGTTCGCGAATAATAGTCCGTCCGGTCACATTGTGTTCAGAACCAGCTGGGAGGGATCTTCTGGAGTTCGACAGGTTCACCGACGTCTCGGATATCCAGCGACTGGTGCGGTGATGACTGATACTATCACAATCAGACGCTCCTGCATGTTGCATGGCGGCCGATATCCTATTGCACTGAAGCTCAATGTCATTAGGACAAGAGTGTGAAAGTTCGTTACGCACGGCATCTTGGTAGGCTTGCCTAACTAAGAGCTGAGATAATTTCTCACTTGCCAATCGAGAGAGGCCCTTGGTACGCCTCCCGGTTCACAGAAAAACGACAGCGTACAAAGTCATGATCCGAGTCGACGCAAGTACTCCAGAACGAGCAATAATCCAGGATGGAATCAGGCCACATGTAACTTATGGCAATGTGATCTATTTGGGTCCATCGCTGGCCAGCTACAGGAGGACGCCAAGTGGCACTTCGGTGCCCACTGTGGCCAAAAGCTGTGCTACTAAGAAACAGCTGGTGCGCCGCACATAGGTGTAACAGACGCTCGCCGTTGTCCGTCCGTTCGGAGTTAAGCCTATAATTACCACCTAGCTGGGCTTCTGAAAAGATCAGATGGCCTACTTGCGCATTCATACGCCCTGCAAGAATTATATTATCAGAACTGGTAACGCTGGGTAGTAGCGTGTTCAGTTCGTGGTAGATAGCATTCTTCGGAGCATCAGCTGCAATCGGTGGGGGCATAAGCGGAAACCACAAACAAACAATCAACCTTAGTTGATGTCGTCAAGCGGACTGCACACAAACGGCTGTTTACCAGAATCCAATCAATTAACGATGACTCGGCCTCGGAGCTGAGAACAATGCACATTCTAGCTTGACCACTGGTTGCCGCTTCAGCGTCTCAGAATGCGTGCAACCAATAGCGAGAGGGCAAGCCGAACGCAGTTAATTCAACAACCCCGTGATGGTCATTGATCCTAGTTTCGGACACATACGTCAATACCCAGCGTGTCCAATGTGCGTGCGAGTGCAGCCTGTTGACCTATTTTCTTTGTGTGAGAACGTCGAACACTACCAGGGAAACGGGACGGCGTGGGCTTATAAGAGCCTGTTGCCGATAGGCGTCCACTGGATCATGAAGGAAGGTAGCTGCAGATGATACAACTCCAGTGACATTGCGGTTGCTGTCAATTAAACTGGGAAGTATAGGAAGTAGACTAGTAGTGGAGAATGGGAGGGGAGTAAGAGAAACAGTTAGAAAGGAAAGAAATGGAGCGTCAGCAGTAGCATGCTTTTGCTTATCTGTCCCGCCGTATGCAGCAGATAAGGCGACCCCTGATAATCTTCGCGACGGCCGATGCAGAATGTAGTTAGAGTTTGGGGAAACGGTAATGGTTATATGTGGGTTGAGATATGTTATCATGTATGTAATCACAGCAGCCTAGCAACTGGACACAGAGCAAAAAAAGGAGTCCGAGTGAAACTGCACCATGGCCAGGAGAAATTTCCTGAGCCACCGAACTCGCTGGTCAGTACGAAGGCCGTTGACAACCGGATGGATCATACGCCTTCGTAGAACCCGGTGACAATCGAGGTGGATGATTCGCCTTCCGCTGGATGCTCACTTCTGGTCGCGGAAGTGGGTGGTCAGTGATCACATAACCCTGCACATTGGCTTTGACACAGCGTCTTGTGGTAGTTAAACGAAGAACAAGTTGATTAGCCCAGAACCCCGCACGCAATAGAATGCTGTCGCTGAGTGTCCCCGACTGCTTACTCATCACACCTGCAAACAGCCAAGGATTATACACAGTTATCTTCGCAAGGAAGACGTTCGGTAGACCGCAACCTGGGGACGCGCCAGGTGGCGTGCAGCTCCACCGAAACAACCAGTGGTCGGTTCACTTCCGGCTACGCATGAGTTCGCAAGAGGTAGAATGATCCGGTTAGTGGCTGATGAGGCGTAGATAAGGAATCCATGCCGATCTGGATATTAATCACCACAAAAGTACAGTAGATGCAGACAGCGCTCCTGATGCGTGAGAGGCGAAACATTGTTGAGTAGTGTATCATGAATGTAACAAAGAACATAGGACCTACCAGAAATGGAGCTTACAAAGAAGTTTGGTTTCCTGATGACAAGCAGGTTTGAAGTATTCAGCCAACGGAGTGGTAGACGACATTTCAACACACATTGTATAAGCGGGAATCCGTAATGACAGTGCACGTCAACAAATTTCTGCTTGAAGTGAAGTGAGAATAACTCACCTTTTTCGGCGGCCAAATCCACCCAGAACACTGTGTCGGGAGATAACAGGGAAGAGCAGATGGCCAAACCGGCCAAGCAGAGTATGATCGGATGTTTATCGGATCTGGTCTCCACACCACCACCAACAGCACCGTATCCAGCTGGGCCAGAAAACCAGGTGATCGAGGAAGGAGGTGGCTTCGTGACCTCAGCGACTGTCCAACACGGTTGGATGGCAATGGAGCTGAGATTATCGGTACACCGATTAAATCGCTTAACCCAGTTTGTGAGATCGGAAATAAAAGTGCTCCAAATATCCGTAGTTTTTGCGACATCCACAATAGAGAATATGAGCCCTAAGTATGGAAGAGGAAGCAACAATAAAGACTGTAATGCTACGTCCACGAAAAATGAGCAGTCGAGTTGAAGGAGTTCTGAGTAACAGAAGGGCCACAATGATTTACCGCGGAACTGTGAAACAGTGGATTAATGAAGTTACAGTTACCGGACACTAAGAGATGCAGAGGATGGGATAATATATATGGGAAGAAAGTGCAGTACAACGTGATAATTCGTAGGAGACTTGCAGCAAGCGTATTCAAGTTATTTGACGAGACAGCGTGAACTCGGGATAGTAAGAGGGTAAGACATTTGAGAAAAAGAAATGAAAGAGAATAAAGGTGATAGAAAAGCATAATCGCTACACTCAAGTGGCAGTGGGAAGCAAGTAACTATACACAAAACGAGTGCTGAGAGAGATTGAATCGGCTAAGTTGATCCAGTTGACTCCGTTAAGGGAGACAGAGCGCACAGATTCGAGAGCTAAGATATCGACCAGTCCGTGCGCACACCCATACCAACCCCTAACACGGACGATTCGCCCCGATCAATCAAACGTAATGACTGTTTAGCTCGAGCATTCGAATCAGAAGGCTTAGCAGAGTCAGGAGATGCCTATATTGCATCAGCTGATGGAATTCAGCATTAATTCCCGGGCGGGTATATCAGAAGTCGGCGATGATTCGTAGACAACAATGAATGCAACGCACAGTAACCGTACAACTGATGGAATGGAAACTAAGGACAAGTGTCATAATTTAGAAAATTGAGGGCACTGTGATATGCCCACCACATTCTATGTAATTGAGTTGCAAAAGAAAAGGCGTGAAGGAAGAGAAAAAATGAATCCAGGGATTTAGCAATGATTGTACATATGGAGGCGATCACCCGTAACGGTGCAATGATGTACAAAATTGTAAGTGTCAGAAAAAGACTAGAGATGAAAAGAGCAAAGCATCAGATATTTCATGGTCGCGTTGAATGAAACGAATTGGAAGCCAAACATGAATTATTGGGGCTCGCAAAGAGAGCGGAACAAGTCAATGAGCGGATATTGATTTTGGAAAACAATAGGGAGTAAAATTTGTAGCGGTGATTCATATTAAAAACTACAGCAGTCATCTGCGAATTCAGCAGAAAGGCAGGGCCTTCAAATTGGCCGTTGCATTTGCCTCTTGGAACATCGTTTAGTTTACACTGCCTAGTGCGGACCTACAAATATCGTTATATAACAACCAGTTTTGTTTAATTGAACTACATATCAGCTGCCAGTGTTATCCTACTCTGCGGAATTTTGAAATCATTTCGAAATGCGGCACGTAAAAAGACTTTTGTTGATTACAGTCATTAAGCCGGGAATACTTTCAAACGGATTGTGAGAAAACATTCTGCCAAATGGAAAAAACATCGCGCCGGTTGGAAAGTTGTTCCACGTCAATATGCTTCAGAGAAAATGCAAATATCACTCATCATCTCCAGCAATGTGCGTTCACTGCGAGGAAAAATCACTGACCTCACAGCTCTTATATAACGAAAGGAATACAGAAACATAGGTGTTTTTACGTTACAAGAAAGCTGGTTGCACTCTGATATTGAAGATGGAGTCATAAACATCAGTGGATACCGTGTAATTAAGCCCGATAGCCGATATGAGCCAAGGAATTGCGGTGGCAGCGTCATCAGGTACGTTAACCAACTCTGGTGCAACGCTGTTAATCAATTACTCACTCTACAAGCTGTCATTCACTTGAACGAAAACCCAAATTTATCAGTGGCATTCAATCCGTTGTTATCGCAAACTTCCACATTGCCTTTGACACACCATCGTCCGAATTCAAGCTATTAGTTAAGCAATTTTCTTTGATATTGCTGCCGAAACTAGAATTCTGTGTCTACATTGTGGCCGGTAATTTTAATAAATGTGATATCACGTTCTTTAAAGCACTTGATCTGGCCAATTTCCCGATCAGACAAGATACACAGATTGATGTTGCTTACACAAACAAAATTCGTTTGTTTTCCACTCAAAAGCATGCACCACTAAGTAGCTCGGAACATGGTGTTCTAACGATTTGTCCTGCCATCTATAGTAACATTAACTATACCGCATTGACGAAAGGACAATTTAGAAATGTCAGACGATGCAACTGCTGGGCGAAAAATATCGCACGACTTCAAGCAACGTCTTCTTCAACAGGTTCTTCAGATGAAGATCTATCATTTCAATGTGATCATCTAGAGCGTTACGTAAACTTTTGCTTCCACCTATAGTGCCCTATCGAGACGATCTACCTACCAGCAGATAGATTTCCTTCACCCCTGCTGAAACAACTTCGGAGGAAAAAAGAACATGCTTATAAAGTCAAACTGACCACTTGCGTCAAAAGCCTAACTGGCAATAAAAGCTGAAATAACACGGTTAAACAATTTGTACACTGAAACGGATCTCTGGAAACACTTGTAGCAAGTGGTAAAAGTATCATCGATTGTACTGGAATAGTAGATGTTGATAAACCCAATTCTGTTTGGTTCTTCTCCACGGAGTGCTTTTCCAGTACTCTTTCTTCACTAGCTTAGTCACAGTCGCTTTATTTGATCAAGTTGACGTCAATAGAGAACTCAAAAAGCTAACTACAAATAAAGCTAGCGCCCCTGATGGTTTATTACCTGTGATTTTGGAGTAGTGCGCCGATTCCCTCACGATGGTTCCATCCCCGATGTCTGGAGGTCAGACGGAATAAAGTCAGTTTTTAAAAAGGAAACACTTAAGTACCGGCCAATTGCTTGTACTTCGGCGCTCCTAAAAGACCTCGGAAAGCTACCAGTTCCAAGGATTACGAAAGCTACTCGTGCTGATGATGTCTAGCAGTTTGCGATTAGACCCCAAAGCTCTACACTAGATGACATCTCGTACCTTGTGCATTCAGTAGCTTCTACGTTGGATAAAAAGTGCAGGTCCGTATGGCTTATTTTTCATGATTATTCAAATGCGTACTGGAGTCTTGATAGATCAGTTCTGCTTAAGCTACTTTATATAAACGGAGTCTACCCTGATATTTTCAACTTGTGTGATTATTCCACTGATCGTGGGCACTTGACTCAGTTAAACGGAAAAACTCCTCTATGCTCCGCGCTGACTGTTGTGTTTCATGCAGAGCGCGATTCTTACCCCTTTTATTCTCTTTATGAATTGAAAGTATCCCCATACCATCATTGGATGTAAGTATGGTGAAGAGGTTGTCATGGGGTGCAGAGATCCCTCCATTGAAACGTCTATGCTTCAATGTGGTTTAGAGGAACTTGTGAGTTGGTGCTCAACCAGATGCTTTAACTTCAGTGCTTTGAAATGTACTGATGTAACATTTTCATTTCTCCGTCCTGATAAATTGAGAGTAATTTTAGATGCCTCTCCTCTATTAACTTCGGAAAACAAAACCATGTCTATTTCACCCACTGTCAAATATCTCGGTGACTATTTTTCCTAAAACCCATCTTGGTCCATGCAGGTTTTGGAGACCTTTCACAAGGTCAGAAGGTTATCTGTTTATGCTTTGCGACTTAAGAAATTCTCAGTACCGCGAAACTTTATTCTGAAATTTGTAACTGCACGGTTTCTCAGTAATTTTACCCGGACTACTTCAAAAGGACTGTCTTGATTGTGCGATGCATTAAACATATTTCCAGATGTTATGGCTTGTCTAGAGATTCCATAGTTGAAGTTATTGCTTGCAAGTATTTCGACGTTTGCATGAAGCTTTTTCTAAGGTCCTAAGTGAACGCTTTCATCCGCCACATAATACGCTCTCACAAAGGTTGTCTCTCACACGCGCTCAATATGTAGGAATTTGTTCTCTTGCATTCCTTCGTAACGTAACACAATCTTGTCCTATTTGTTGACCTTAAGAAATTCATAAATGAGTTCAAAGAGATTTGGTAACAATCGGTTGGTAGAGTTGTTTGGTAACGTTTCGCTCTTGACACAAGAGTTTCGACGTGATCTCACTTTTCACTAATGTACCAAAACGAGAAGCGCTAGGAATAGCAAGACGTTGTCTAAATGAAGACGTCACTGAGTGATCGAACAAAACATACGGTTAACCAGATAATCGAGGGTATGACAGTGTGTCTTAATATGTCCTACTTCGTTTTTCAGTCGAAGCTGTAAAGTCAGGAACAAGGTCTCGCCATGGGATCGCCAATATCTCCTGTACTGGCGAACTTGTATATGGAAGACTTCGAGAACAGGACGCTAACGATCACCATTAACTCATCGACAGCTGGTGGCGCTATGTAGACGACACCTTTGTACTTGTTAAAAGGGATAAGAAGGACCAGTTGCTTGATCACTTTAACTCCATTGATGAGAGGATACAGTGTAATATTGAGACAGATTCTTGCAGCGGTACAATACCAATTTTTGACTGCCTGATTAACAGAAATGGGAAAAATTTAAAGACGAGGATATATCGCAAGCCAACAGATACTGACGGCGCACTCCACTACACTTCGGGTCATCCGAAACAGGTTTACGCTGGGATATCGTCAGCGCTGTTCTATAGAGCACAAACCCTGTGCATGATGGAGAAGGACAAAAAAGCAGTGCGGAAAGTGGCAATGAGCAAACTATTAGAAAGTGGTTAACCAAGGCGGACAGTCAAACGCCAACTGCATAAAGTGCTAAACCGACAGTCAAGATCCACAATCAAGTGGATAGGGACGGTAGGACTTCCGTACAAGGAAGACAGATTGGAGGTAATTTGGAGGGTACTAATCAAGTGATCTTTCAGCGAGGTCGAACGCTACGTTCGGTGCTGGTACCCCTGAAGGACCCCTTCCCAAGGATAGCACGACTAACTGTGTTTATAAAATTGAATGTAAGGACTGTGCACATGTGTACATAGGTCTAACAGCGAGAGATTTACGCATATGAATTTCAGAGCCCAAGAGGCGCATTTCAAGACCACCAAGAAACGAGTTTGAAGACCAGGCAATAGTAAGAGACTCGGCCGTAGCTGTGCATGCATTAGACACGGGTCACCAGATCGACTTGGATAACGTAGAGGTCATTAGGAGGGGCATACGATCAACGCCACAGCGGTTGATTGCCGAGGCTTTGGAAATTACCAAATCGGACATCTGAGTGAAAACAGAATGGAAGGAGTAGAACACTCTAGTGCGAGGCGAGCGATCTTAAGCCGGCCAGCCTGACGAGTGTCGGTGCGTGGGTCAGATTGAAAAGTGCAAATCTACTCCCACTGTCACCATTTTGGACTTCTTGATCAATGCCATGACGCACAAAGGAACACATGGACTATTCCCACTGTGTTTGGGCCACCTGAGGGACATCACGAGCTGTGACTGTGATGACACCTTAGCTCAAGTCTTGGGTAACGCGGTTATCGTCCCTGTTCGCTATAAAATGTCACTCCAACTGCACATTTATTCACCTGGCCTGATGAAGCCCTTGTGTCAAGAGTGAAACGTTACCAAACAACTATGCTAACTGATTGTTATCAAAACTCTGAACTCATGACTACTCGATCGGTTCCAAGTATCTGCCAAGAAGTTGAAGGCTATCAATGATTTGCGCACGCGGCTCTTCGAATGAGATCCACACACCTGTCTACTTAATTCTTCAAACTGTATGTACGTAATTTTAACTAGCCCCATTCGTTCAGTGTATCCACAGTGAGAGTGCAAATGCTGATAAGGTACCCATTTAGGTGCATAATGTCTATTTCGAGTTGACTTGAGAACACTGTTGACGTAGCGAAAATTGGTGAGAAAGATTTGGAAACACCACCGAGAAACACAGAGCTTCATACTGCGCACAGTACACAGCGATTTTAAAGTGTCGCAAAGAAAAGAAAATGTAGTTTGATAATGTAGTTCGGTTTATAAAAATGGTATTTCAGTGGTACGGTTTGATGAATAAAGCTGGACCATAAAGCAGTAGCTGGCTCGTCGAACAAACTCTTCGTGGTGCCAACTGCGTGGTTAGGGATTAATCCGTTCCAGCGAATGGTTGGGCGGTGGTGTTCTAAGAGGTGATGGGTTTTCACCTGGCAAGGATTCTCTCTATAAAAGCCATATATATGCGTTTAACAACGCTGTGACGTGGTGGATGTGACTCACCGCCTTTCTTTGAGCGGCTATTGTAATCCAATGGTGTGTTGGGTCACCGGTCCTTTGCGGACCTAAAGGCGTATGAAGCAATTGTTTGGTCACCAGGTTGAGACGCCTTCATATGGACCTGCTGTCGTGTAGGTAAGATCGTTAATCAAAGGCAACCCCCTAATTCGGATTGGGCAAACAGGCAGTATTATGCCCACTGACAAATCATGAATAGATTATACCGCTGCTTTTTGTTTTTTTCCACATATAATTGTACAAGCTTGAAGAGGAGTTATTGAAAACATATGTTGGCTTGCTTCTACTTATAATTACCAAATGGGAATTTTTACTACTGCTTTTGCCCTTGTCATGACTCCTGGCTCGTCTAACTCAAATGCGCAACCTCCACACATACATCTCATCCTCCAACTACACGTATGTCCTCTCCAGTTACTGTCAACAAGAGTAACAATCAAACTCCTGGTGTTAGATGCCCGGCAATCCGAGACTTGTCAGATTCCACCGAGGCTCCAGCTCTTCTTCGACCTGGTTCTCCATTCGGCCTCGCAATATTTAGATCGGACGGCAAGTTTGCTTGGACCGCATTCTTGAGACGTTCTCGGTAGACATTTGCTTTCTTCCGGAAACCAGACTGCAAGATTCCAGTACCGTCATTAGATGACCTCTACGGCAAACCCTAAGGTCAAATGTCATTTGCGCTTTTCCATGGATCCACAGCCTGGCGTTTCTGGTCAGGCTGGTGTTGGGGTTGCTCTGAGTGACGAGGCTGAGTCCGCTCTGCTTGACTGGACCCCAGTCAACAGTCGGCTGTGTGCAGTCAGACTAGGAAGTACATGTAAGTTAAGTAAGCGTCGAGATGTTAAGCGTGCATTATTTGTCGTCTACACATACCTTCCTACAGACTGCTATTAGCAACAACTACATGACCTGCATTCCTCCCAAAAGTATGATAATATCATTCTTGAAGATTTTAACTCACGTGTGGGCCGCTCGCCACCAAACGAGCACCATTTTGGGGCTAGTTCTGGTCTCGGTAGCAGTCGATTAAACGATGGACACAGATTATTGGCTCTTTGTTCTGACTTTCGCTTGTTTCTTTTGGGCACCAGTTTTCGGTACTCAAAGAGACAGACTGATATACGGCGCCCGCCCGCTCAAATGCAAGAGTGATCCACATAGGAACAGGTTACAGATGGTGCGGAAGCTTAACAGACTGTCGACCGAATTGGTTAATTTATCTAGACTCAAATCCCGCACTGGTTTGCGCTATGATTTGTATGCGTTTCAGAGGATCGCTCAGGTATACGCACTACCGACCAAGCGTAGAAAACGTACAAGATCCTAGGACGTCAGCCAAATACCAGCCCACTGTCCACACTGTTTGTCCTAGCTTCTGAGGAAGATCTGAATTCACAATGGGTGCGCGTCGAAGATGCCTCAGTATCTACCAGTAGTGATAATTGTGGAGCTTGCCGTCATCTGATGAAAAGCTGTAACACTGTTTTCTCCTTTTCGCTGAAGGACAGATATAACTCGGCCCCAGCGGACAGAAGGTATAGTGAAGACTGCTGATCCCTGGATAGAGAACCGCGTAGGAATTAACATATGGGCGGTGAAGTCTGGTGGTGTGTATGATGGGAGTACAGTGTGAAATCTGCAAGCGTTCAAGGGAAAGGAGTCCAAATTTGCGCATTGAGTGGTTCGAGGTAACCAGTCAACAGATGATGTTAGGCGCACAAAAAATGCATATCAGTGGTGAAATAGATCTGAAGTTAGTCTGATAGGGCTTTCATCCCAACAGTTCACAAGCTACATAGCAGAGCCTAGTCCGGAAAAGCGCCAGACGCGTTTCGCCCTATTGGGGCTCGTCAGTGGCGCGCATTCCCTCGGTCCTCTAAGGAGGATCGAACCCATGACCGCTAGAGGCAGATGCCAACTAGCCAGCAGCTTAAGCCACTGAGCCATGGGGGACGTTGGCTCGGCTACATCATTTGCAAACTAGCTAGGATATAGCACCACCTATCTACCACTGTCACTGACAGTGGTTAGCCTGCAAGGTGATGACGTCCTCTTGCTAGACGCTAAATCCATAGCATTTGAAACTAGGAGAGGCTTTTTGATTTTTATATTACTCATTAGTGGCAGGATTTTAGTTGTAAATCTGATAGGGCTCTCATCCCAGCAGTTCACAAGCTACGTAGCAGAGCCTAGTCCGGAAAAGCGCCAGACGCGTTTCGCCCTATTGGGGCTCGTCAGTGGCGCGCATTCCCTCGGTCCTCTAAGGAGGATCGAACCCATGACCGCTAGAGGCAGATGCCAACTAGCCAACAGCTTAAGCCATTGAGCCATGGGGGACGTTGGCTGGGCTACATAATTTGCAAACTAGCTGGGATATAGTACCACCTATCTACCACTTTCACTGACAGTGGTTAGCCTGCAAGGTGATGACGTCCTCTTGCTAGACGCTAAATCCATAGCATTTGAAACTGATCTGAAGTTCACAAGGAACTCACCATCAACAGTCAAAGGCAAATCAGAACAAGCTTCCGAATGGCAGAGAGTTGGAGGAGATAGTTGGCTTTCCGGAATCACACCTGTAATAGATCTATTGGGTAGAGTAAGATAGAATGAAAGGAGAGTGGAATAAAGAAGCAAATCGTTGAATTAATTGGTAGCGTGAGAAAGGATCAGAAGAACAAGTACCTCTACGGTCGGTGGAAAATTTAGACACCACTTACATGTGCTCCGTATGTGAGGCGATTGGAACACTTGTATGCATAGGAGAAGTATCGAACAGATCGCCCAAGCTCTGACGTCTGGCGTTCTGCATTGAGGTGACTCCACTAACCACAGCTTGTGTCATACTGGTTGTCTGCTGGATAGCAAGATAGGGAATAGCTAAATACAAGGGGCTCCAGAAGATATGAATATCACAACTCGAAGAACAGCAGAATAAAATGACAAACAGGGTCAGTACCTAGAGAGACGCGCATTGAACCATTTTTAGATTCCAACAGGGCAACATCACAGTTAATGAAGACGAATTTGCGACCGCAAATAATACTAGGTCTGGCCAAGACTATCCGGGAGCAGCCAGGGAATTCAATCATCTGGATAGCTGGTTTTATGCTAAAAATGAAGGATTCGAAGGTTAAGCGCCATCAAAGTGCAGTGACAGGCCACAATTACTTTAACCAGGTTTGACCACACACTGGACCAAGAGTGGAAATCGCGACCCAGCGTATGTAATAAGTGATTCTATATTCAAGATAATCCGTTATACGGCACACTATAGGGAGAGACAAAAGTATACGCTGAAAATTGTCTCCTGAGACACACCCGAAGTGCAATGAGCTGAACTAAGATTGTGCATCGCGATGCATGCATGCATGCAGCGGGTAGTTTAAACAACGCAGCAACGAGTGCTTACACCTTACTACAAGTGAAGTTCTGCGATGTGGTGACAGAAGCAACTCACCAGTTTCTAGGCTATGGATTCGAGTTAGAATTAGGTTCTCTGCCTGAAGTGACAAATGAGAGTGGAACCGACAGGGCAGTGTTTCCACGACTGTATAACACTTATTTTGACGTGAGAGCAACCCCTAACACGTGGCTGTGCAGACCCATCTCAAGGTCAAGTACAGACATACTGGGCATGCATGTCTTATCCCCAACTGGTAGTAAAAAAGGCTCATCCTGTAAGATGCCGGTTTAGGAATATAGGGGTGGTAAACGTTATCAGCGGTGGGTTTAAAATAGCTGTTCGTGAGTTTGACTAACCCATTTGGATTCACAAAATGCGGGCACCGGGCCGATGATACTAGATCGAATTCAAGGCACGTCTGTTTCCATAATATGAGGTAGAGTACGGATCAATTGCTTAATTCAGGTGGAGGAAGAACAATGGCATGGAGGAACCTCAAACCTAAAGCAACACAACACACACTAAATAAAACGGGTACGCAGGGCTTATCACGTGCCCCGAATTCATAGATCATGTATGGACAATGGGATCAGGTGCGACATTATGCTCCTGAAAGGCACAGATCCGGAGACCGGGAGGTAAACACACGTGAAAAGCAACCACTTCTTTGTGTTTTCACATTTCCCGAAGGCCGTGGGTGCAACATGCAGTAGATAGTCTTATATGCAGACATGAATTGTTCTCGATATTGCATCCAAAATGTGCAAATCAATTGGTTACAAATAGTTCACGCATACGCCTTAAGTAGGTAGGACGATTTACACTTCACTAAAGTAACTAATGTGAAAAGGGTGGAGTTGAAAAGGAAGGAACAAGTATCAACGAAGATGGTATTTTCCGAGGGGGCTTCTCGAAACTACGGAGATTCCAGCTCCTCTTCGAAGATCGAGCCGACAAAAATAGCGAAGAAACGAATAGACAGAAAAGTAACAGCATGCGTTTTGACCAAGATTCCAAGAAGTAAATGATAACAAGACTAGAGTTGTGGATAAACAATCGGTGTTGTGGAAAAGCAAGTTGTTTGGGAGTCTGCCATAGAACCAAAAGGCTCAGCGGTATTTGCCATACATTCAACGACTTCACCACTGACACCTCGTGTGCAACGTGAGGTTTCTATGTTTCATGCGTCAAGTGAAAACGCAACTATAGCTAAAGTAATAACGTAAAAACTGTGCATGACTCTAACGGAGCAGCTCCCATGATCCAGAAGTGCCGACACACCTAGTCTTGTACGGTCTACACTGATATAAGTGTGATTACTATAACGAATTGAGGAACACGGTTTGCTATCACTTCTAAACAAGTGATCAGCAATTGTGGCCTCAAGGAAGGCTGCGGTCCACTCAACCATTTAACATCGTATACATGGATCCTCTAGGTGGAAGGAACCAGCATTGTTGCAGTCTACGACTTGCATCAACTCATCGCAGCAATAAAACCAATGAGCTGGTCAGTTGGCTTGATATCCCATACAACCGCAGGTAGTCTACTCTAAAAACTAACAGTGTGATGTCTGTCCTACCTTGTTGTCAGGTAACCATTCCTTACCCGAATGATAGGTTGACGTGTTAAAGAGAAGCCCGGTTTCGACGATATGCCAGGTCAAATCTGTTTATTTCCTTAAATTGAACAGTGGATGAAGATGTGCCAGCAGCGGCATCTGCGATAATAATAAATCACATGATCATCAACAGTACACGTCAAATGAGGGTGAGAAAAAGGCCTCAGCTGTTCCACAATATAAAATAAGATACTAAAAATAATACTACAAAAAATCAAAAAGCAAGCAAAATAAAGGTAAATATCATATTATTACCTTGCTATGAGATCGTGATTGGAGGGGTATCTAAAGGGGAGGAGGATGAACAAAGAAACTCACAGCACAAACACCATTGGGGACGGCTCCTAGCCATATCAGCAAGTGTGTCCAATCAAACGTGTTCGTCGTCCATCGGACCCCAGCTCGGCAGTCGGGATGCATCAAACGACGCCAACTTTGAAGTGAGGGTTTTCATTCCTCCTGATCAAGTCATTGCTTGGCCTCTCCTACTTCTCTTCCATGCACACCTCCTGCGCGAAAACAACACACGTCCCAGGAGTCGGTGGGCGGGAATGCGCAACACGTGGCCCAGCCATCGGAGCCTGATGCGTGCTGAGCGGTTCACTCGCTCTTCCTGCATCAAATACACGACGCCGAACACGCTCATTGCTTACGCGATGCTCCCACCAGACATGAGCTAAGCTGCGAAGGCAGCGATAGTCGAACGTAGCTAGCCTCTTTATGTCCGTCGACCTGATAGGCCAAGTTTCACAACCGTATAACAGGGTTGAACGGACGGCTGCATTGTAAACTCGGTCGCGTCGGCGCCACAGATGGCGCAGATTGGCAAAAGCACTTCGAGCTTTTGCTATATGGTTCGTGACCTCATCTTCAATCCCACGAACGCTAATATGGTTGGTGGCATCCGGTTTCGGATTTGCCTGTCACTGTGGCCAGCCACAGGACGCCTGCGCCTAACAGAGGGATCATAGGTGGCTTGCGCTGCACCACCCACAGCTCCAACCACACCTCATATCCAGTGCAAACCCGAAGCCATAAGACCGGCAGGCATGTGGATGGGAGCCACGTTTCATCAACGGAGCCGGCCCACACTCCTTCACAGGCAAACACAAGCACGCTGTATTTGGGGAATCAAGCGCACACAAGGCGGTGGCTGGACCGGAGTCCGCTCCACACTGAGTGCATGGAAACCACTCTTCGAGCCTAGCACGGCCACAAGGACCGTGCACCCCGTCCCCTCCAGCAACGACCAACTGTCTCCTGGAGCCAGTATGAACGATGTAAAGGGTAATAGACAGGTAGGCACCTTGTCAACATGCACATCAAGCACAGCCACACCGGGGATATCAAGCAACAGCCAATCACCTACAACGACAAGCTGAAATAAAACAAATCCAATAATGCATACAGATACAGTGGCATAACTCTCCGCTAAATTACCATATGAAGTAAGTTGGTTAGCAACGAATCCGTGATAAGTAGGAAATGTCCACAAGTCACTTGAAAATGCTACAAACGCAACAAAATTACCGAAGATAAGCGCAATTAATGTAAGCAACTTGGCCAGTTACACTAAGAGTATTCATGTAGATAGAACAAACCAAATAACATGGAATGAAATTTATCCACCTTAAAAAGACCTAGTTACAGTGTCAGTTGGTTTAGCCCAACTGCGGTGAAGAAGCTAATATAGCTGCCTAGATACTTAAATTCCTGAGCGACTTTTCGCTGATCCCTACTAAGAGGTAGGTCTCTGCCAATCTTGGAGAAAGACTCTATATGTCGATAGAGCAAAGTATAGCCCAAAACAATTGACAACCAATGCTAATATACCCATTGCTGATTGGCGAGTTTGGGCGCTGTCACATATGAGGGGCAATGTCGTCGGCGTACTCCAAGTCAAGAAGTCGTTCACCTGGGAGCAGCTCCACACCTTGTAAGTCGAGTCTAGCGAACGCTGTTCCCATGACTTCGCCAAAAGCGAAGTTGAAGAGGAAAGGTGTCAGCGGGCAACCTTGCCTCTCACTGCTGTAGATATTGAAGGGCGTCAACAGCTGGCCACAAGCCCTCACTCTGCCCGAACTATGCGCATACAGCGTTCTGATAATGTTTGCGTATTTCCGGACACATCTTTTCTGAACAGACAGTCCCAAAGGGCACATCGATCGACTGAGTCGAAGGCACCTTTGATGTCGAGAAACATGACTACGGTGGGTCGCCAATAAATATGGCGATGCTCCAACAATTGAAGTAAACTAAAGATTTGGTCGATGCTGCCTCGATTTCGACGAAACCAGGCTTGCTCGTCGCGAATCCGACTTTCACGAGTGACAGTCAGTCTGTGGAGAACGACAGACGCAAGCAATTTAGGGGCAATTGAGATCAGATTGATCCCGGTATGGTTGCCGCATTCCGAACGGTAGCCTCCCTTGAAGGACAATAACGGAGCGGCTCCAGTCTGTCTGGACAGTTTCTTGCTCCCACAGTTTCACTAGTAACTCGTGTACTTCATCTAAAGAGCAGGTCCGCCAAATTTGAAGAGGGCTGGAAGAATTTTATTTGCCCCCGCGGTCTTATTCAATTTTAACAGTATGATCTCACGATCGATCACGTGCGTGAGAACGGATCCGCGGGGATGGAAACGGGAGTGGGCCGATCAATGGCTAGTGGAGAACCCAACAACCCAGACTGATTGAACTGTTTCTCAAAGTGTTCAGACCAACGCTCCAAGCGTTTTGACAGGCTGTGGATCGACTGTCTACTCTCGTCGCGTATGGTCTCGCTAACACCAGATCTTTTGCTACCCGGTCCCGTATCAAACGGAATAACTTACGATGGTTACTAAAGGCAGCGGCTGTTTCCATTTCCGATGCAAGACGAGACCACCAGACTTCGTGGTCTTTCTTCAGGCTAGCGCACAATTTTGTGAGTCTCATTGTGTTCGCTTCCAGCCGGAATACGCCGGCGAGCATCTGAAAGTTTCAGAGACTGTGTAAAGACACAATGTCCAGGTTGGCTACTTGATTTGCACATGAAGACATGCCTACTGATAGTAACGTCCGGCGAATATGGGACCAGTGACCTTCAATGGTGTTCAGTGGGCGCTTACTCAACTCGGGTGCCAGCGCACTTTGATACGCATTCAGAACACCTGGCTTCACCAGTTGACTGGTGTCTGTGCGCACACAGCGATGTTGCGGACGTCCGCCGAACCGCACCCGAAGGTCGGCATACACAAGAGTATCGACAAATCACAGCGTGATACTAAGCAAGAAATAACACCACGAGAATAAGACGAATACATGTACATTACTCGTCTTGATTTAGCAATGATGTTAAATGATCGCCTTCCAAAAGAAGCGCGCAAGACTGCGATGCCAACAGTTAACTTGTTGAGAATTAAGCGGATGATTATAAAGTAAAATATACACAGTGGATCATAGCTTCAAGGTTGGTTGACCAAGTACAGACCAACCTGCTATGGCGGCCACCTGTCTAAGGCGATCACCTATTTATAGCGACCAGCCAAAAACATTCCCAACGTTTTCTTTTATGAGCAATGCCCCTATGAATGAAGCTGTTCATGGCGACCACCTGTCCTAAACGACCACTTTTTGTCATTCCCTTGAGTGGTCGTCTTAGACAGATTTGACTGTACCTCGCAACCAACCGTACGGAATGAGCTGTTATGCAATGACGTGAAGCAGCGTGTGAGTAAAAAGTACAGACAGAACGCCAAGGTATGAATTTGGGTAAACCGATCGCCCCTCATGACAGTAGCCAGATATTTGGGTGGTGAGCCTTGGGGCAGGAGGATTTGGAACTGATACAAAGACATCAGTTTAGCCGAACACAGGGATATAAAAAGATTGTTTAAAGCCAAAAATACCCCATTGGCCAAACGTACCGGTGTGATGAATGCTGCAGGTGCAATCGCGGTGTCCAGCATGGAACAAGTGAGGGTATCGTTCATCCCATATTCAAAAGGAAAGGAGGGCTCCAATGTCGAGTAGACACAATCTCCAGTAGACTGGAGGATGGGCTCACAGACCGAATGATTTGAAGAATCGGTGTGTGCGGGTACACAGGCGTTATCGATAATTGCTGTAAGTTGAGTTGTTAATACAAATGTCTCCTGTGATTGAGAAGAAAATGAAATGGATTTCAAAGAAGACCGTGGTTCTACTGTGTGGAGGTACAGGGACTCCGCGGTGTAAGCATTAGACAAACTGGTACCTTCATCATGGTGCAAATCAGCAAAGCGTTCGCTGTCAGTAAACGAAACTGAAGATGGAGCTATAGTGATCAAGGGGCAATCATTTGGAGACGAAGACAGTTTAATACGTTTGGTGGAAAGCGGAGTGGTAATTACATCCGAAAGAGCGCGCTTCAAAGGAGTGTTGGGTAAATTGTTTGTAGGCGGAGGGGATAGCGATTTCGACTGAAAGGCATTCTGGGATCTTCCCGACGAGCTACTGCTGTCGTTCGGTGAAGCACGATTGCTATGCTTTACAGGTGTAGAACCACATAACTCCTCAACTTGCGAGTTAGACTTCTGGACTTTATTGAACGGTAGCACAATATTAGCGCCGTATACAGCAGCTAAATCCTCCCGCAGTAATTCTTGGGCTTTCTGAACTGCCAACTCGGCAGCTTCCTCTTCGTTCACATAAGACCCATCGTCCAACTGTATCGTGCGATGACGAAAGGTTGCTTCAGCGGAAGATTCACTTCTATTGAAGAAATTGTGAAAAGACACAGTGAGGGGGAAGGAAGCAGCAATTGGATTGACATGCACTACCTACGAAGAGGATATGCAATGATAAAAGATGAAAGAGGTCCCGTACTAATTTAAAACGTGAGCTATACCCTACGCTATCTAAGCATAGAAATATCGCATTCGTGCGTTGTGAATTCATGCGCCATCACTACCAAAGGCGGTGGATTTACGGAGGGAACAAGACAATCTTGAGTTCAACGTCAAGCTCTTACTACCTTAAGTATCCGGGTGAATACCAAACGCAGTATGGCACTCAAGGATCTCCGAAGTGTAAACGCGCATATGCATGTGTGTATTCAGCCGCGGAGTGGGATGACTGCCACCAAATGCTACGGCCAGACAATGTGAGGAGCTAGGAGGTGACTGCGAGTCGAGCAAAGCAAAACAACTCCGGTTTCGAAGTTGCAAAAGGTGGCCAAATGCGTGCGTGAAATGCAGTAGAAGCTAAGGAAAAGCTGTCAGTAGGGGGTTAAACTGCGACACCACAAAGGTGGCCGCATTGCAAACACTTCGCTCTTGTGATAGCAATCAGCATAAAGACTCATTCCAAAATCGCATTTGTGTAGAGAATTGCAAAGACAACGGTATTCAACCTGAGGCAATGCGAATAATTACATGTGTACCGAAAACGCCTAGAATGCTAAGTGACAAAGCTAAAATTACTTTTATAAACGGGCGTAAAAATAGGTGCCGGATGACCTGATGAGAAAACTGCGACAGCTGAGTGTGTGCTGTACTCCTTGATAGGAGTCTCGAGATGGTTCACATCAGTGGGTAGATGCCCTAGTCGACATGGCGTTGTCAACAGATCAAGGGTGCACCCGCATTCGATCCATAAAGCCTGACCGGTAAAACCGACAGCGACAAGTTGAAGGCTGGTTAGATTATCTGTCGGCTGACTCCGCCCACCGCATCAGTTTTCGCCAGCATCAACTGGGTCTGTCTTATAGTGGCGCTCGGAGGGATGTCGAGAGAATAAACCGAAATAAATCACGGAAGATGATGCACCCGATGACAGGCACAGAGATGGTTCATGAGACAGACAACCGGTCGGAAAGTAGATATGATGAGCGAAACGAGATAAACTATGGCGTACTACGTGGTGACGGAGTGAATGAAAGGTCAGGAGGCACTGAAGTGTGTCAGCTCATAGTGTGGTGACTTAGGGACCGCCCAATGGTGGACAGATAGCATACTTGATACGGTGCAGTTTGAAGACCTGTGGTGTGAAGGCATTCGGTCCATAGACCTCAATAATTAGTACTTACGGACGACGATGTTAACGTTTCTGGTCCCTTTAAATAGCATTTTTATGTCTGCTTGTTCCCCTGTGGTCTCCATTTAAGGTGATACACAGGAATACGGTGACGCAGCTCATTGTCAAACAACTAAACAATACAGGTGGATGACGTAAGTTGTATGGGCCACTGCGTGAGCAGTAAATTAAATGACACGTTTAGATTAGATTGGTAATGGATGAGCGCGGTGCTCAGAACACATTAGAGGAATGTGATCACATTAATGTGAAGTAAATCAGAAGCGTAGCGCACCTCGGAGAACAAAGCTCAGAAAATGGCGAGCGGGAGTGTTTCAACCCCCAGGAAGCAATGGAGTTGGTGAAGCATATCAAAGCAAAATATAGCAAGTTGCAAGTCAAATCAAAATAGGTTTTATGCACGTGGGTAGATACACGTACAGGATATTACACTATTACTGCGGATGGAGAAATACGTGAAATTAATGGATATAAGCAAATAAAGTGTCTAATACAAAATGTGTTAGATTAGCATACAAGCAAACAACTGAGCATCATGCTGATGAGTTTCGGTGGGTCCACAAGTAATCGTGACAGGTACGGTAAGATATAATTGTGGTGAGAAGCCGTATGAAAAGAGAAGAATCTAAATTTAGAGCGTGTAGTGGAAACAGATATCGCTTTCCGTAGAACTCAATGTAGTGGATAGAAAGGGTTGTTAAGAACTTTGAAGGGAAAACTAGTACAAACGTCTACATGTTTGGTGACAATAAAATCAACAAGTGTCTCTTTAGACAATCCACTGGATTTGGAAAGAAGACTTAAAGAACGTAAGAAGAATGTGTAATCTGTTCTGAGTAGCCCAGGAAAAATTACTGGGGAAAAGTAAAGCCAGAGAAGCAGAATGTATGCAGTCACAAATTTAAAGATCAAATGACGAGATACCGAAAGCGTTTGAAGTCTGAGGGCATAATGTGTTATCCTTCTGACTTTGTAAAACGTTTCGGTGACAAGGGTAGATCAAGATAAGTTTTGGGATTAAATGTCACCAAGATATTTGAAAGTTAATATGCTGGGTGAGTCGATCACTCACTTCTAGTGAAGAAGTGGCATTCGAAACAGCTTGTAGCTTATCAGTCCGAATAAAAGAGTAGGTTAGATCATAACATTTAGAAATGTTCGGAATGAGAGATTGGGTCGATGACCACAACCGAAACTCATCCAGACCACCCTGAAGATTAGATGTCTCAACAGTTGGAGCTATACATCCTAGAATGATAGCACCTGTATACTTGTATCCAATAAAGTTGGATGGTAAAGGTTTTCGATATATAAAGAAAACAGTAGATGAGAGAATCGCCCCTTAAAAAAACACAATCAAAGCAATGTGGAGAGGACTTTGATCCGTGAAGCTGGGTGAAGAGGGTACAGTTTGTAAAGTAGTCCGTAATCACGCCGCAGACAATTGTATTAATCGCAGGGGTTAGAAGCTATTTGAGTATGGTTGATCTGCTTACGCTCCCAAAAGCATTAGGAAATCAAGAGACAGCAGGCCAACTGCTTAGCATTTTTCGTCCGTTGGTGATGATGCCGAATATGGTTGGCGGTATCCGGTTCTGGATTTGCCTGTTACTGTGGCCAGCCACAGAACGCCTGCGCCAACAGAGCGACCATGGGTAGTTTGCGCTGCACCACCCACAGCTCCAACCACACACCCCATATCTAGTGTAAACCAGAAAGAATAAGATCGGGAGGTATGTGGATGGAAGCCACGTTTCATCAACGGAGCCGGCCCACACTCCTTCACAGGAAAACACAAAAACGCTGTATTTGGGGAATCAAGAGCACACAAAGCGGCGTCTGGATCGCAGTTCGCTCCACATTGAGTGCATGGAAGCACTCTTGGATCCTAACACGTCCACAAGGACCGTGCACCTTGTCCCCTCCAGCAATGACCAACTATCTAGTAGAGCCATTATGGATGAGGTGGTGGGTAATAGACGGGTAGGCACCTTGTCAACATGCACATTAATCGCAGTCACACCGGGGATATCAAACAACAGCCGATCATTGGAAACGACAAGATGAAATAAAGTAAATCAACAACGCATGAAGGTACGGAGATATAACTCTTCACTAAATGGGCGTATTCAAAAAAAAATTGATTACGAAGGAATCCGCGATAAGTTCAAGAGGTCAGAAAAGATATCTCAAGGAAATGCCACAAACACGAAAATGTTATCGAAATTAACAACAATTAGCTTCAGCGACATGTGCTAATTTATAGAAGATAGTACAGGTAGAGATTAATATGAGAAAGAAAAGCATTAGGACAAAGTTACAAACCCACCACCTGAAATAGAGACTTAGCATGCAAGCACGCCGTTAGTAAATGGAATGCAGCGTACCGACAAACGCTGCGCCGGTTCTGTCTACGTTCTCTGCAGGACACGTCGTCGCTTCGGTAGTGGTTCCGAGTGGCCTCGCTCATGGCTCACTAGGCCTGCCTGACTCAGGCACTCGCGACCGAATATACAAGGTAGGATACAGCATCCAGTGGGGAGAGGTTAGTCTAGTAAACAAACTAGCATACCTCGTCTGCATAGTTGCGTGGGAATATCTGAGGAACAAGTAGTTTCTCGGTGACTTTCAACATCGCCGAATACATGCAATCGAGCGATAGCGTTAAGGCTCCTTCTTTGGTACAGGCGTTATCCCTACAGGTCACCAAATGTCAGGGATTGTGTCACTAGTAAGACAGCTGCTGAACAGAGCGGTATCGCGAGATAATCCGCAAGCTCTTATATAACGAGTGGGGATAAGGATTTAGGTCCAGAAGCCATAGTTATCTTACATCTTTTGAGTCCCCTGTAAACATCCAAGGGATCAAAGGTGACTGTGGGATCAGTGTTGTTTAAGTGAAGCATGGAACAAATACCATGTGGGGAAGAACAAAACTCGACATCGAGTCTGTTCACATCCACATTATCAAGATACTTTAGGGAAATTTTGTTACACAACTGCTTTAAAGCCTCCGAAGGTCGCGGTTTAATCGTGAGTATCCAACATAGTTTCAATGTATAGACGATTCAGACGCATTAACGCTGATTTCGTTACCAACAGAAGTCATTTAACTTAGGTAGGTATTTTTAATTTATATGCCAGTCCTTTTTTCGCCTAAGTTGCTTCATTAGTGGCGAGGAGAATTTGTCCATGCGTAGGTAGATAGTTTCAAGGAAGCAGCATAAATCAAGGTGTTCACACTCCAAAGACAGGGTTTCGTCAGTGAAAAGTGAATTCAACTGGAGCCTGTGTCGCATGGCATTTCGCGATATTTTCTGCCGAGTAGTCTCGCCGTTTGATGATTTTGAAGGTTTTTCTCTTCGAAGACGCAGTGTTAATCTTGCTGTAAATAATTGGGCATATCTTCAGGACGCAGTGGTCTGAGTTGCCAAAAAAGCCCGCTTTAATGTAGAAAACATATGCATTTTATTTGTGAAAGCAAGAGCCAACTATACATTAAGTCTGGTTTCGAAAGATACGGTGCTTTTTAGACCAAGTGTCTTGAAGAACGTCGTATCACTTTTGTAAAAGTCATCAGCAACGATCCAGCTAGAGCACTCAATTTTTGACAGTAAGGTTGATGAGAAACGATCCACAAACTTTCCGAGCTCAGTCGATGGTGTGTCAGGAGCAATGTAGATGCACTGAATGACGACGGGAACTTAGGTATACACTTGAGTAAATGACAGCCAATTTTTTTTGCTGAGTACGCAGACGGCAAGGTAACCGAATTACACCATAATTGGTTGACATATGTGATAACACCTTCGCGATACTGCGGCTTCCCAGGGTAGCCGGACCTCACGACGCGATGTTCAAGAAGCTGAATAAACTCACGTCCAAATCAGAAAGTAACCTACATTTTTGTAGTATTAAAATATTTGTGTTCGCATATTCCTTACGCTGCATAATGGCACTGAGTTCGGCAGTTTTACCAAGTGGAGAGCGCTTTATTAGTAAAACGACGTCTGAGTCCAGCTTGCCAGCTAGCACGGTGCTTTCTCATTTTACCGAAGCGTTGTTTTAATGTTCGTTTGATGGTGTTTCTGATTTTGTGACCGCATACGACATAAGACTCGGTTTGCGCAGCTTCCATGAACAAGTTCAAAAGGTCAGCAAACTAGGATAACATTAATGACCTCAGAATGATCCAGATAAGCAAAAATGCGAGGACAGCACGACAAAATTGATAAACCTGTATTAGTTAGCGGGAAAATGGTACTCCAAGGGGAAACAGCAACGATCGATCTGAAGGCCTCGCGATAGTCGGGGACTAGACTGGAAGCTGGCTAAGGTGTAGTTCACAATGAATGAGTATAGTGCGGGCAAACTCATTGGAGATGATAGTAGGTATGGAGCCCACAAAGGGACTAGGTGTTTAGGTCAAACTCCTGAAAGATGACCAGATCTTCTGATCGAAGCTGCTGGGCCACATTTGAGGTCACGAAGAGGTAATTGGAACCAGATGACCTAGGGTATTTAAAGGTTTTCAAGCATATTGGATGTTCGGCCCTTGTATCGGAAGGGTTAACGTATGCCACCCACAGGGAACGTGTCCGCTGGTACATTGATATGTAATTTAAACGATATAGATGGACCAATATGCCTTATCCATCACGGGGTTTAAACACATACACTAGACGTCAAAGGTGACGAGCGGAGATAGGATGGAGGCACTGCACTACTCACGATGATTGAGGTGTAAGACATATATGAAAACCCCATATACTAATCTACTTGCACATCCTAACCTTTGGAATTGCACGGCAGTTTGCAATAAACGGGTTACGTCAGAAACGCGTGAATTTGCCAACGAGGAAATGGAGTTGATTCCACCAGAACGAAGGGCACGAGCGCGTTGCACATTGATCAAAGGTGAGAGCCGAATCAAATCAACGAGTTCCTCAGCGATGCCATAGAACAGACGGGACTGGAAGCTGGCCAGTAAACGCTCCAGATGAACCCAGCCCAAGCGATTGCAGAAAATAGTCACCATGCCTAGAGAGATGCGGAAAAATAGTAGAATTACGAACGTAAATGAATGTATGTGGAATATCAATCAAATGGACAGAAGGTGTGTAGAAAGCTATCGGTTAAGTTTCAAATAAACACAGATGCATCAATTATCAGTGCAGCCGGATCCGCAGAAATTTGGAGCCAGGGTCATACGCGGCTATCTGGAACCAAAATAAATAACTAAATGGGTTTATTTCCTTAAGTGAAGGACACGTTCCCACTTGTGGACCCAGCGTTCTAACATCCGCAACTGAAAAGTGGACAAAACACTCTAAATCCCGGTGCGTTTCTGGACGAAAGGCAAGTACTGTAAAGAACAATGTGAAGAGGCCAAACAGTATGTGCGACGGCTGTGAGAAGTAACAGATGTTAGTACGGACGAAGCAAAAATAGATAGGAAGGTGAGATACACAACTTGGGTTGTACACATCTGCGTATCTGTCTTCCCATGTCCTCAAGGTTTAATGGAACACATAGGCGGGATACAGTTGAACTCTTCGTCTGATCCAATTTGAACAGGCGTGCATCTCACGCAAAACATTGGCGCATAGAATAAATATATGGACTGCAAGACGAGCGGCAACGATCCTGCCGAGTTCGGCACACGGGGTGTGATGGGAACTACATGACGTAGTTAAGGTAGTCGAAACCTACACGTTTCACTGTGAAACAGAGACCACAGCATCTAGTAATCTGATCAGATGCGTAGTCTTGAATCTGAGCGGTCCGCTCATGAATTTGGTGTGGTGAGAGTGGTGGGGTACGACGTCGATTTCATCAGGAACGAAGCCTTGAAAAAGTGGTGCAGAGAACGTGTGGGGTACAAGATCCTTGTGATGATGACCAAAGAGATGGTGATTACCGCGTGAGTGGCTCAAACATATTAGTGAGTCGAGGAGCCATGGTATCGGGAAAAAGCTAGGTAAGAAACGCAAGCAAATGAAGTGAAGCATTACGTCATTTTGTCTAAAAGATAATGCCCATTGTTGTTTGCGACGGAACCCGTTACTTATAAGAATAGAAGCCAGTGTCGATGAGCTTTTTACGTGTCTAACTTCCAAGACAATGCGTATACGCGAGAATAGCGAGTGCCGAATGGAAAGGGAAGGGTGCAGAAAAATGTTAGATGGGCACGAGGAAGAGAAACGGGCGAGGTACCTTACCGGCGTATGTGGAGGCTTGTTGTTGTAAGCTTTGTAGAAGACCACGATTGACTCCAAAGTCCTCCGCGACCTTGCTTAAGCCGTCCTCACAAACCAAGCGGTACAGAGTCAAGGCGGTGTAGAATCGCCGATGTAGGGCAAGACGTTCAGCATTGGCAGCCGATCTATTATGTCTTCCGTCAGTTAAAGATGCGCCAGCAGCACACCTTGTAATAAACCGTTCCTCAATGCCAACAAGATCAGCAACGCGACGATCCGAAGCTGAAAGCCTTTGGTATTGTTCCAAATAACGAAACCAATCCAAATTAGCTCCGAGATCTAGATAGATGGGGGTGAGCTAGGGATGAAAAACGGATATCGTTTTAAGGTGCAAAGATAATGTTACCACGCTGTATAATAATGAATCGGAAAATTGGCTAACTTGACACCTAGAATACTGTACCACAGAATATCTAAGAAAGAGGATTACACGCTAAAAATATTTTATGGAAAAAACACTGAACCACAAACCCGAAGGCTGAAAATGGAACAGACAGAAACGATATACTCGTAGAAGGTTAAATCACGAAAAAGTCGGTGAAGGCCACTAGTTAAGCGCCGCGTCATCCCTAATCCGCACCTTAGTCGCTCACTCGCGAACGTGTTCCGCATGAGGAGGATAATCAACTAGTGCGCGTATGAGACACCAAACCAAGGAATAAATAGGCAAACAATGTGTTCGGAGAGATTGATGATGCCCCCTTGAATGTGGGAGCAACGATTGCTTCGGAGTAAGTTCAAACGCTTTCAACACGTATGATGCTTACAAGCAGATGCAACCACGTGTCAGTACCCCAAGGTAGGTACAGCGCGAGTTTAATGCGCACTTAATTCCTGCTACATCAGAAGTGCCGTGGATTCAACCGCCATAGCTCGTATCGTCAACAAATAGTCTGACTCACAAGTCAGCGGAGAACAGGTCCAAATGGAGAATAATTGAAGATCGTCATGAAAAGCTGTCAGCTGAAGATCAAATGTAGAGCATTGTAAGGGAGTGGTTAAACAGCGATCGGTGCACCGAAGTGTAGCGGATTCAGTTGCCACGATTAACGTCGCCGCGACAATAAGTAACAGTGATGAGAAAATGAAATAGAATGTTAACAGGATACAGAGAAAAGAGAGTTATGAAAAGAGAGCGTTAGACCAATCGAGATGGAAAATTAAGAACTAGATGTAAGAAACCGAACTCAAGAGTGCCACTGACTGTTAGAGTACACCATGCTCTTTAGCCACTGATGTGGACCATCCCAGAGTCTTTAACCAGGATGATGACAACCATCAACCTGACAGTCTCACGGATAATTTTTTCATGCTTTTATGCCACGTCATCTAGAGACAACCACTCATTTTCATTCCACTGGGTGCAGCGACAGCATACAATGCACACCGAAAGCGGTCGACGAACATGCAGTGAAAGTGACAGCCAACGTAAGCGGTTAAGCTACACCAAGCACTTTCGTGACGCACCGAAAGGATTATTGACTATCACCAAATACCGGACCTCAGTACTGCTCACCCGGTGTTCCCACCAGATGTCAGCAATACTCCACAAGCACTGCTGATGAAACACAGCCAATCGATTGATGTCTTCCTGCAAACGGACCAAATATATGATCTAGAGAATAAACGAGGCTTTATCGCAGGCTGCCATTTCCATAGATGGACGGGCCTATAAAATGCCACACGGGCCCTGTTGATACGTAAAGTGAGCACAAAAGTTGACATAGAAACCAAGGCAAGCGAACCGATGCACCACTTCTAGAAACTGTGCGCTGATAACTAAAACCGGTGGTGTATCAGTCCTGCCCTGCAATAACACTTGGCACGTTGAAAGTGGAAAGCACATGCCGAAACGTGCGGTGTTATGCGCAAGCGTGTTAGGCAGTGCTTACATAGCCAGTGGGTCATACCCAAGGAAAGCTATGTTGTCCGCATATTCAAGGTTTGTCAGTCGGTCAAGTAGCGGAATTTCCACTCCGAAAAGACGGTGAAAGAACGGAGTCACTTAGGATTATTTCGACCACAAGACTGGGGAGAAAAGGAGATACAAAACACCCGTAGTGAACCCCATTTGTCTTATGGAACTCGGAAGACAGTTTTTCGTAGACCATTATACGAACTGGGGAGTCGCGGAAGGTTTGAAAATGGAAAGGAGTTTCCCAGGCACGCCCTTCACGGATACACAGTGGCACAAGGCTAATACAGTCAACAGAATCGAAGGCGTCTTTCAAGTCAAGAGAAGCCACCATATAGTGTGTTTTGTTCACAATAATTGGTGATGAGCCTGGACATCAGTGATTTCGAGGTGTCTTTCAGTGGGAGTGAAACTATCAAATAAGTTTACATTCAGTTTCGTCGCGATGTGATGTATCGGAGAGATAATCAATAAATGACGAGAAGGAAAATGTGAAGAGAGGTCGTATCGTCACAGACGAAGGACTTGGCAATGAGACAATCGATGGAAAACCAGAATAAGCGAGGACAGATCGAGAACATCATGGGGACGAACTTAATGCCAGAATAAAGTGTAGCCGTGTGAAGAGTAAACTTAACGAGCAAATTGGAGAGCGCTCGTGCCAAAACGATAAATACATCAAAAAGCCCATGGACAGAATACAGTTGAAAACAAGTGTAATGTTGGCGACGATACAAGATCAACGGACGATGATTAAATCATGCACGGCTGTCGACCAGCAGCGCTGAACTTCTTAGTCTCACCAAGTAGACCAAATGAAGATCCGTATCTAACGCAATTGACCGGCGAGCTTTATCCAATTCTTGAAGAACGACGAGGCCATGCGTCGGACCCAAGGAAGAGGCCAAAATAGCTCTTCCCAATGGCGTTGGTCGAAGTCGTGTACAACTACTAAACAGCTTCGAGTGCACTTGGGATGAACTTCTATCATGCGAAGAGGGGCAGCACGCCGAGCAACCCTGTTCCTCACACGGGAACTTTCCCAACGCAATCAACTCCTGGTCACAAAGGTTAGACAGACAAAGCTGCAAAAGTCGGTTAGTCCGATCCTTTGGTGAGGCAAGGAAATTAGGGGAAAGTGGACCATTTGACAGAGCCGAGCTCTGAGATAACCGCGAAGACCGACGATGTGGGCCAGAGTGAGGTGTGCAGAAAACAGACTGATTGTTGTGCGACTCAAGATGCAGCTCACTGGCCATGAAGGTGCTGCAGATGTAGTGGTGTGCCTCGGCAACTGTTTCAACGAACCCATTCGAAATCACCTGTTGAAGAAACAAAGGTGCAAAGAGAGCATCAAATGAGACAACAGTCAGACTAAACTGGCTCCAAATAAGGTGTCAAAACATAAAAGAATTCGAGTGGAGTGTAATGTTTGGATAGGGCAATATAATGAATCACTTGGCGAGTGATGGAGCGAAACGCTGAATACTCCCTTAGCTGTTATCTGCGAAATTCGAGTATATGACTACAACGGCATTAAGGCTACGATGATCAATAATGGTCTAAACACACACGTAGGGCGAAATCAGCTGCCTTCATTTGCGCAAACGAAGGAGTTCATTAAAAATTAAGATAGATAGTAGGGAGACAGTAATCGCGCACATGAACTATATCGGACAGCAACAAAAATACTGAGACCCACGTGCAGAAGAGATAATTTCATCGAGACAATCAAAGTAATTGAATAAGCCCCTTATTCGCCTTATGGATAGCATCAATTGGATAGTAAAGCTTATGTGACGAGGAACGCAATCCAGAGAGCAGATATGCACTACCGTGATTCAGAGCTTTAGCGTGATAGCTGATATGACTGGTCACTATGTAAGACTCTGGCTACTATGATAGAGAACATGGCTCAGAATCGGAGTTGCTGACCCAAAATCTTCACTACGAGACCCAGATGGACGCAGTGGGGAAACTTCTAAAATATCAATAAGGATTGTCGTACGGAGAAAGACAGAAGAGACATCCGATGAAGAGAAATACAACGGAAATACAACTTGTAACAGGATAGATGATGAAAATTGATTTGTATGTAGTGGAATGCTTAACGCACGCTTTGGACAGGCATTCTGAAATATTATTATGCGTACACCCCGTCAGCTTGCTAGGAAAAGCGATTTGCTCCTCAATAGTTAAGCAAACGTCAGTTGTTTAACTTTAAAGTGTAAATCAAGGTGACCGAGTGGGTGCTGTTCGACTTTATTGACAGACACACACTGAACACCTTGATCAATCCGTGTGCACCTATTCTGATCGTTGTATAATCAAGCTATCTCTTGGTGCTTACGACAAAGCAAACAATAAAAGGAAGTCACAGCAGGTTCAGACGGAGGTAATGAGAATCCCAAGACACAGAACGACTATGAGAAATGACTGCTTCCCAAAATGTTGATTCATTTTCTGACACAGGTGTGCCAAATTCACAAGTTAACTGAGCTCGGTGATGGAATCTGCAATCCATGAACAACCGTCTTCATCAGCGGAGACAGACTACCTCAGGGCCTCAAGTGACTGAGAACATTGAAAGATAAATCATTTAGAAGCAAAGAACGAACTTCAGTGAAGTCTCTTTACAAACTTTTAAGACACGTGTGTATCAAAACAACACACAGAAACAACACTGATGCGTGAGAGAGCTGTGGGATGAAATGGTTAAATGGAGTCACTCACTAAGTGACGAATTCTAACTTCGGCGTGGAAGAAATGCGAACTTCTGTTCGTAACCACGCCGCCAGTAGTAGCAATGTTGTGATTTAATTCCCGAGTCATCCGTTACGTATGAAGAAGGATTAACGGACACTTAAGCTACTGCTGGCAATTTAGCAGCAAACAAAAGTGAAAACAACTACATTATGGCAATCCAAGCGGTTAGAATAAACATTATTACGGCGTGTTCATAACGTATGCTGATGTCAAGACTTAGACAATGGTTGAATGGCACGATGTGTGTGTCAAACACAGGGTCGATGAAGAAATGCAGCATCACCAGAACGAGAAACAGACAAATATAGACCAACTACGCGCATTAAGGTAACTTTGGAGGTTGGAGAGTTTCGGGGCTGCTCTTTCCCAACACCGCACTTCACGACCGACCGATTTCGTCCGGATTCATACTAGTCCGGTAGAGGTAGGGATTTGTGACAAAGCATTCCTGAGAGGATCGTGGCTTAAATACATTCGGATGGACTTCATCACTTAGTCAAGCATTTTCTCAAGATACAGTGACCTGCATGGCACACTCAGTGCTAGAGTCGTCATACAATAGAAAGAAACTCTCATGCGTCTGCTCTCCTAAGTACATCAATGCTTGGTGTTGTAGGTCGTGAGCAACTGCTGCGTACTCCGCTCGATTCTAGAATGCAATCTTCATCAGCCTTTCTACTTAAAGGATGCGTTGCGAAACGCACCTAGCTTAGTTGTAAGGGTGTTGAAATTTCCTTGGCGATCGTTACAGACTGGTATTACTCATGGATAAACTCTGTTGGTACCTCTACTTTCTACTCACACTGACCTGCTCTCGAAAAGGTTTTACTGATACAAGCAGATTAAGTGGTCGCTCAGACGTCAATCACGGTCCATCCAACAGAGCTATAGACTGGATTGCACAATTCCGTTTGAATATCAGTTCTGTCATTGTAAGCACCAAAAGGTTATGATACTACTTTCTCAGAACTCAAAGAATGCCGTTACCTATAACTCCTCACAGTGACCTCAGGTTCCCATGGACAGAGAGAAAATGTAATCAGCCGGCTAGCCGAACAACCACCTCGTGGTACCAGCTGGGTGGTTCGGGTTAATCCCGTTCAAACAAATGGTTCGGCGGCAGTGTTCCAGAATGTGGTGAGATTTCGCCTGGCAAGCGTCCGCCCTATGAAAAACCACAGATATCCGTTTAACAACACTGTGACGTGGCGGATGTGACACGCCACTAAATAAAGTCACTGCATCTTCCATTTTCCGGAGGATCATTCACACATCACGAAGGTCATCAAATTCGAAGCGTTTCTTTGATTCCCCCTTTGATGGCGAAACCAGCGAACAAAAACCCACACAGTCACATTTACATACTCACACAACATGGCTACTTCCAAATATACACTTAAACATACTTCTACACGTCAATACGCAAGCATATCAATTCCTATGCTATTGGGCAAAATGTGCAGTGGCCGATCATACAAGTCCGTATTACCATGATCATGCCCTTGATTGTGTGCCTCGCAATGACGAGAATAAATTAGTTATTTATTTAATATTTGTCGTAGCTGCATTATGTAAGCAAAGTACGCATATTACCGGAAGCTTGAAGGATTACTGTTCTTGACTGAAATTCTCTGCCTCGCAACTCTTGAAGCTGCAACTGTTTACCTCAAGCGCATTACCTCATCAGGATCATTGTTCTTTTCGACTATCTACGACTCTATGCACCGATAGTATAAGTGCAACATTTATGTATACTAGAGGTTAGTTGTTTCATTCTGCAAATAAACGGTGCGGAAAATGCATGACTGATCGAGTACATGCGACTGCCCGTGGGACTATGGTTCGTCATCCATTATCTGGTGCGCTTTCTGCTGGAACCGAAATCCAAAAACCGAAGAACTATCTGCTGTATTTGTCAAGAGATGTACTCTCAGTCCATGAAATAATGAACTGCTCCCCTTGTAGGTATTTGTTCCCATCAAGCAGTCTTTAGCATAATTTCTAAGCCTATGTGCGATACAGCTGAATATTCACGGCTCCTGAACATCTAAAGGATTGGTATGACAAAGAAGCACCTAGCAATTTAAGCATAAAAGAGGGAAAAGTGAAAGTAGGCAAGTACGAGCAAAGAACAAGTGACAAGGAATTTTAACGGAGTGAGGTGCCATTCAGAATGCAATACCCGATTAGACAAATGATCGCACTATTGCGTGGACAAAAACAAGCAAGGGCGCAAAGACATCGACTGAACGAATAAGGCTATCTAAAGTCTGGTAAACCGTGCCGTTAGATCTGCATTCGTTAAACCAAATTTGGATGTGTAAAATACATGCTGACAGTGTCAACTGTATTCCCAAGAGCATTAGTCCGTTTTTCGGACACGAATTGCAATCGGCCTGCAACAGCTACCGCATAACACAAGCGCTGCCAACCATAGACATTTCCGCACGATGAAGACGTGTTGGGTGCGGCGCGTTCGCCTTGCGCTTCCTGTCTCCTATTCACTGACAACTGATGTCACTGCCACCAGGAGATGAACTTGCAGGGCGTCAAACACGAAAATATGTAAACGGACATATTTACCTGCACCCAAGATCATTTCAAATGATAGCAAGTAACTAAAACGTGCCGGACTTGAT